GCGGGCTCCAGGTGGTCAGTGCGGGCGCTCAGGTGGTCAGTATTGGTTTTCAGGTAGTCAGTGCGGGCTCCAGGTGGCCAGTGCAGGCGCTCAGGTGGTCAGTATTGGTTTTCAGGTAGTCAGTGCGGGTTCTCAGGTGGCCAGTGCGAGCTCCGGATGATCAGTGCGGGTTCTCAGGTGGCCAGTGCACGCTCCATGGTGGTCAGTAGGGCTCTCAGGTGGTTAGTGGTGTCTCCAGGCTGTCAGCGCGGGCTCCAGGTAGTCAGTGCGGGCTCCAGGTGGTCAGTGCGGGCGCTCAGGTGGTCAGTATTGGTTTTCAGGTAGTCAGTGCGGGCTCCAGGTGGCCAGTGCAGGCGCTCAGGTGGTCAGTATTGGTTTTCAGGTAGTCAGTGCGGGTTCTCAGGTGGCCAGTGCGAGCTCCGGATGATCAGTGCGGGTTCTCAGGTGGCCAGTGCACGCTCCATGGTGGTCAGTAGGGCTCTCAGGTGGTTAGTGGTGTCTCCAGGCTGTCAGCGCGGGCTCCAGGTAGTCAGTGCGGGCGCTCAGGTGGTCAGTATTGGTTTTCAGGTAGTCAGTGCGGGCTCCAGGTGGCCAGTGCAGGCGCTCAGGTGGTCAGTATTGGTTTTCAGGTAGTCAGTGCGGGTTCTCAGGTGGCCAGTGCGAGCTCCGGATGATCAGTGCGGGTTCTCAGGTGGCCAGTGCACGCTCCATGGTGGTCAGTAGGGCTCTCAGGTGGTTAGTGGTGTCTCCAGGCTGTCAGCGCGGGCTCCAGGTAGTCAGTGCGGGCTCCAGGTGGTCAGTGCGGGCGCTCAGGTGGTCAGTATTGGTTTTCAGGTAGTCAGTGCGGGTTCCAGATGATCCATGAGACTGGGGGCTGCGGCTGTCTGCTCAGGCATGTGAAAGGCAATGCCGCAATAAATGAATAGGGGGGCCGCGATTCAGGTTGGGTGTGAATCAGGTCGGGTCAGCCAGGCCTATTTGCAGAGGTGAGCCTGGAGCAGGAGCTCTATCCCGCCCCTATGTTAATTCCTAACCCTAAACTACTAATCTCCTCATCCCCATGTAATGGAGATGAAGAAAGGTAGACATATTAGAAGTTCAGGCTTGGTGATAGCCACGGCTCCCTCTATAGACACAGTGAGTGAGTGTTGTCACCCCAGGACAGGAAGTGTGTTATTCGCAGGAATTGAATGTGGTCAATCTGTAATCTGTTCCCGGGTTTATATTCTCTTCATCTCAGTCAGCGATCTGTCCACATTGCGCAGTGATTGCTCAACCTAACATGTCCTCGATCCTACAGATAACCTGTACACAGAGCGGCCAATCATTAACTAAAGCTTTAGGCTGGTAGGTGACTTCCTATCCCATCCGGTGACCCCGGTACCCCATCATGACCTGAATCCGAGTCTCCTTGTGGACACGCAGTGTGGAGCTTATTCTTATGTCTCGTCTTTCCTTCCACGCAATCATGTACACGGCTCTCCGCCGGCTCCCTCACCGCAGTGCCCGGCTGCTTTGGAAATCAATTGGAAGCCAAAGTGGATAAAGAGGAAGTTGTGAACTGGATGTGCTATCGGAAAACTGACGACTATTTCACCATCTGGCTGAACCTGAACATGTTCCTTCCTCTCGGAATAGACTGCTGGATCGATAACATCAGGTAAGTGCCGCCATGTGGCGGGTTTGGTGATTTCTGGTGTACCTTGGACCGTCCGTCACGCCGCTCAGTCTTGCCGCGTGCGGGCGGCTGCAATCTGCTCTAAACAAACATGTCTCCGTGCGCAGAGTTGTTTATAACAAGACGACGAGAACCGCTTCCAACGCACCCGGAGTCGATATCCATGTCCCGGGGTTCGGAAAGACATTTTCGGTGGAATATCTGGATAAAAGCAAGTTAGCTGGTGAGAAGTTGGCAAATACAGAAACTCTTGTCAATGATCCCGCGGTGACGATGATGTGACGTTTGGCTGTGAGGTGCAATGCCGGATATTGTTGCTTTGTCATGTCATTCACTGCAAATGCCCCTCCCCCTCCCCACACTGCCTATGTATCCCTAAAGCCCCGTTCACATTGAGCGATTTATCGCGCGGTATATCGCGCTCCAATGCATTTCAATGGGGCAAAGGGTCCTGCTGTCGCGGGTCGCGTGTCGCTACAGCAGGACCCTTTTTGGAGCGGATTTAGCCGTGATTCTAGCTTGCTCAATGCAAGCTTGAACGCGATGTCGCGCGGCAAATCTCGCGATATAGCGCAATATGCAAATCGCGCGACTTGCATATCGCGCAGTGGGAACGGGGCCTAACCGTACAGCAGCCGAAGGCAGCCAGGCTCAATGCGTATGCTTCCTGCTCTGGCGGGTGCTGGCCAACAGGAAACAGTTGGGCGGAGCTAGCAGTGATGTCACCGCCCGCTCTGCTCAATTGTTTTTTATTTTGCCGGCATTTGTCAGATGCTTCATTATGCGGCGGGAGTTCGTGGCGTGCGGTCGGGTCGGCGTGCGTCCTTTTTTTTTATATATTTTTTTTCTTTTAATTTTCCTATTTTTAAATAATTTTTCAACTTTTTTTTTCCCATGTAACTTTCTTTTCATTCGGCTTGTTACGTCGGAGGTACCGAGCAGAATAGCCGAGCCGAATGTCGCTCAGCAGCATTCTGCTATTCACTTGCTGCCGTTCGGGCCCTATGAGAATATAAAGTTCGGGCCCTATGAGAATATAAAGTTCGGGCCCTATGATAATATAAAGTTTGGCCCTATGAGAATATAAAGTTCGGGCCCTATGAGAATATAAAGTTCGGGCCCTATGAGAATATAAAGTTCGGGCCCTATGAGAATATAAAGTTCGGGCCCCTATGAGAATATATGAGAATAGGGGCGAAGGGCAGCGTTGGGCTCCCTTCGCCGCGGCTATTCACTCGGCTGCCCCTAAATAAAATGTTCTGCTGGAAGTTTTCTCTAAAGCAAAGTGGAAGCTCCGGGTGTTGTGTGCTGAACACGGTCTCCTCTTCTTCCAGGTTATTTTCACACCCTTGTACAGAATCTGGTGAATAACGGCTACGTGAGGGACGAGACCGTGCGGGCGGCACCTTATGACTGGAGAATCGCTCCCAGTAAGTAGAAGGTCACATGTCCCCTGACCGGGGCACCGGCTGCTCATCACTGATGCCGAGTCTTGTCTGTCGCCGTCTCTGAGGAAACATCTGGAAGGTCTGAGTACTACTTCCTCACATTCCCCTGGGCTGGTTCTTTCACTACTTCAGCTGCTCTGACATATAGGTCCAGGTGAATGTGCTGACTATGACATCACCGTGACATCACTGTGACATCACTATGACATCACCATGAAACCACCATGACACCACTGTGACATGGATACATGAGAACCTTCACAGACATTTCCTATCTCCAGTAATCCCACTCTGCAAGAATCTAAGGGGGCCACAAATGGCAGTCTCCATTATTCCTAGGGGCCACAGTCGCAGTCTCCATTATTCCTAGGGGCCACAGTCGCAGTCTCCATTATTCCTAGGGGCCACAGTCGCAGTCTCCATTATTCCTAGGGGCCACAGTCGGAGTCTCCATTATTCCTAGGGGCCACAGTCGCAGTCTCCATTATTCCTAGGGGCCACAGTCGCAGTCTCCATTATTCCTAGGGGCCACAGTCGCAGTCTCCATTATTCCTAGGGGCCACAGTCGCAGTCTCCATTATTCCTAGGGGCCACAGTCGCAGTCTCCATTATTCCTAGGGGCCACAGTCGCAGTCTCCATTATTCCTAGGGGCCACAGTCGCAGTCTCCATTATTCCTAGGGGCCACAGTCGCAGTCTCCATTATTCCTAGGGGGCACAGTCGCAGTCTCCATTATTCCTAGGGGCCACAGTCGCAGTCTCCATTATTCCTAGGGGCCACAGTCGCAGTCTCCATTATTCCTAGGGGTCACAGTCGCAGTCTCCATTATTCCTAGGGGCCACAGTCGCAGTCTCCATTATTCCTAGGGGCCACAGTCGCAGTCTCCATTATTCCTAGGGGTCACAGTCACAGTCTCCATTATTCCTAGGGGCCACCATCTGAATCTGCATTAATCTGCGGGGCCACAGTGGAAGTCTCTAGGGGCCACATTTGCAGTCTCCAGTAATCTCTGCCTCTGTTTCAGATGGACAGAAAGAATACTTTGAGCGCCTGCAGAAGCTGGTGGAAGAGATGCACACGGAGTATGAGAAGCCGGTGTTCCTCGCCGGTCACAGTCTCGGGAACATGTATCTTCTCTACTTCCTCAATCATCAGCCTCCGGAGTGGAAGAAGAAATATATCAAAGGATTCATCTCCCTCGGAGCGCCGTGGGGGGGGGCGGTGAAGCCGTTACTGGTGCTCATGTCAGGTAATCAGTGACTGTCGGAGCTGCACACAGCGTGATACACGGGGCCCCGGAGATGGAGACACTATGGGGGTCAGGTATAACAGCCGCCATT